TAAATTATAACCGTCCGCGAATAAGGCCACTCAGAAATTAACGTCGCAAGACAGCCTAGTGACGTAACCGAAAATAATGCCGAAGAGAACAGATAAAATTATGTCGAATTATACTAGAGTTAACGCAAGATTATAATAGCCCGTACGCGCCGAGCGAACTACAATAAACGAGAACACACAAAATTACAGTAATTATTCGCCTGCGAACCTTATGTTTCACAATAGGCAGACGCAGTAGGCCGCATAAAATATTAATCTAATATAATATATGACCACGAAAAGTAACTGATATATTACTAAATGTGCCAGTTCAAAGTGAACATACGTTATGTTATTTTCTATGTTGAATATGTACCACGAAAAGTAAATGACAGATTATTCAAGGTACAAATTCAAAATGAACATACCTACATATAAGTCAAACAGATTACAATAAAAATATTACAGTGTTCTAGAAAATAACTGCAACATACATAAAGTATATTTTCTATGTTGAATATGTACCACGAAAAGTAACTAATAGATCATTCAAGCTGCAAATTCAAAATGAACATACATACTGCGACGTTATTCGCTTGCGCGTCGCAAGGCGAAAGAAATGATGAGCCCTATCAGTCGAAGAATGAATGTAGTAAAGACACCAAAGGCGAAAGCGATCGAGCGAGAACCGCGAAACGCGAAAGTTGGGCGCCAGACGTCCTTAAAGGCGACGTCGACCTCGCGAAAAATTCGAATTCCCAACGCGACACCACCAAACGCGAAACATACGCTAAAATCCCGGAAATTCTCGCTCTTACGCGGCTAGGCTAGCTCAACCAATAGTAGAGGGGCAGGGTCTTGGGAGAAGACAAGGGCTGCTTTGATGCAGGGAGAGTTAAGAGGAAAGATTACGCCGAGAGCCCAAAAATCATACTCTCAGTATTAAAGTAACAATAAGGGGGTTTATTGAGAACAAAAAAAATAAAATAAATGACTCGATAATTTTTCGCTAATAGCGCGTTGAGACATTGACAAACAAAAATTACAAAATAAATTAGAGCGCTGCGAACCCGCAAGAAAAATTATGCTCTTGGCAAAACAAAAATTACAGCAGTCAATGGCGCGCAAAAACAACGTATTTCATAATACAAACGACGACAATATCCAATGACGCGAGAAATCCGTCGCAACATTACAGCCAATCGGCGAATGCGATATAATTTACCATCCCTCCGCGAATACGGACTCTCGAAAATTAAGTTTGCCAAACCACATCGCAAGGTGACTAAAAATAATCTCGAAGATTACCTATAGCATCATGCAGAGTCACCAAAATTTGCGCGAAAATATCAGCCGGCACGCGCCGGGCGTACTGCCCTACACGAGAACATACCAAACGAACAATATGCCGATCCTCTACGACTCAATCCAACGCCGACATCGCGTTTTACATAGCAAGGGCGCGCGACTCGCGCCGTCTCACTCACACCAGCGTCGATCTGCCATATCACACAGAACGGCAGTCCCGCGCGAGATCGGCGTTCCGGGGCTCTTAATTTCAACAATTATGGACGAGAACAGCACACGGCGTCTACGCCGTAAATCCACGCGAAAATCTGATACCACTGCTGTGCTACCGGTAACGAAAACCGGTAACAAATATTGCCCCTGAACGCTCGCTCTCGCGAACGTGCAACACGTGTGCACGGGCTTTTTCGTTCTCCGCTATCGCGATCTCCAGGAGGCCCGCAATTCCAAGTCTACGCCAATTCCCCGATAGCCGACTACTCTGGAGCTTGGGAGTTTCTCGTGCTTGTCGCCGAGCGTCTCACTAAACGATGCGTTACACCAAAATGCCGCGAATGGCGGCTCCGCGAGAATTCACTAAGGACGCTCGACTGCAGAACACGAGGGTCCCTCGCCTCGATGCATGCGACTTTACAATTTTATAAGTTGCAGAGCAACCTCACCGATAGGTCCCTGGCTCTCGCTCTCCTCCAGCCGATTCCAGTCTCTCTCTCTCTCCCTCTCTCGCGATAGCGCGGGTCTGTCGCCGGGCCGGGACGTCCGCCGGTATCGCACCCCGGAAACGAAAAGCACCGAAAATCGCGATCGATGCGCGATCAATACGTTATCCCCCTCCGAGGGGCGCGCAGCCGCACCGCGCTTTTCCGCGACCAAGGTGCGTGCCCGCGATCCTTCGCGGGCAGTGCCGTGCCCAGCGAGGTCCTAGGGGTGGTGGAAGGCCCCGCGAGCTCATCTAGTGTCGGCAGCGTATTTTTATGCTACCGACGGCCCGCCTTCTCGCTGTCTGGCACACGGCGGTCCTGTTCGTCGGGCCCGCGCCTCCTCGAGGCGTCCCTCCTCCATTCGCCGGACGTCCGGTCCTCCTGCGGCCCTCGCTTCTCTCAGGCTTAGGCCGGTCGACCGCTACCTCGGCCCTGGTGGCCGCTCCTCTCCTACTCTTCCGTTGCTGCTTGCTTCAAAATGCCGTCGTTCTTCCTTCGGTGAGGCGTCACTCATTTTACATGTAATTAAATCGTGGGGATTAGAAAATAATACTTAAATTACGATTTCGGCCCCTGGAGATTTCGCTCGCTCGCCATTCCCGGCCCGGGTCATACGCCAATTCGCGCTCTGTGATGGCGAAGGGTCGCTGCGATGCTGCAGCGAGGCGGCAACGTCACAATACATATAAGCAAAACAGATTACAATTTGCATATTACGGTTTTCTAAAAAATTTCTGCAATATGTTATTCTTAGTGCACAAAATATAAAAGTCGGTTATTGAGATTTGATTTGAAATTTATTTAATTTATACTAGCCCATGCAATGAAAAATAATTGCTTGTAATTCCAGAGTACCAATCTGTTAATGACTCGGAAAAAGAACATGGCAGCCTGCTCTCAAAAGACTGATTGTTAATGACTTGAATAGAAATAGACTTGCAAAAACTATGAACTTCTTTATTGTAATCCATTCGTGTACAATAGGGTGGCGCAAGAAAAAAAAAATTTCTGAATTTTGACAAGCATACATCAAAAGTAGGTTCAGTACATGAAAAAAAGTACTCTCAATTTTTTTTAGATTTTTCGGACAATATTTAGAGGTCGCTGTTTTTGTTTAAAGGTCGTTTGATGTAATAAATGACAATGAATTGATATAGTACGTACTGTATACGATAAATGATAACTGATTATTTTTTTTTATAAAATAGACATTCTCACGTACATTTTGAGAGGTCGTGAACCTATTTTGGTCCAGTAGAATAAAAGATATGATTTTTTAAATTTTATTTTTTAACACTTTTGATTAATAATATGTCTGTACTTTATCTAAAAAAAATCTAACAATATGTTACTATTTTTTTTCAAACAATGGACATTTTAGCGAACATTTTGAGACGTCGTGAACCTATTTTGGTCCAGTAGAATAAAAGATATGATTTTTTAAATTTTATTTTTTAACACTTTTGATTAATAATATGTCTGTACTTTATCTAAAAAAAATCTAACAATATGTTACTATGTTTTTTCAAACAATAGACATTTTAGCGAACATTTTGAGAGGTCGATGACCTCATTACGTTAAGTAGAACGGAAGATATAATTTTTTTAAGGCTGTGTCTATTCGCACTGCAGCGTGCCTCCATTATAGGCACGACGCGTGGCTCGATTAGACTCACACCAGGGCAGGGATGCGGGCGTGGATGCATTGCGGACACGGTCGTGTCTATAATGGAGGCACTCTGCAGTGCGAATAGACATAGCCTTTTTTTAATTTTGTGGTGCATGTCAGTTCGTAAAATAAGTGGCTAAATGTATGTGTATTATTAATATGAATAACTATATTATGCAAATTTGTATGCAAATATTAGTTGTTGTAATTATGTAAGTAAGGCTGATCAAGCGCGTTATTCGCTGTAGGTATAACAAAAAGTATTGAAAATTTCATTCTCGACTTTCAGAATTTTCATTATCATTTTACTTCATTTGTTTTGTTGTTGACGCTTAGCTTACTGACGGTAATGTCATTCTACAAGTGTTATTGTTTATATGTTTATAATACGTCATTTACTAATATGAACTTCTTCAGTACTACTGAGCAGTGTGGTATTAACATTATTATTAACGTACATTTAGCCACTTCTTTTACGAAATGGCATGCACCATAATATAAAAAAAATTATATCTTCCGTTCTACTTAACGTAATGAGGTCATCGACCTCTCAAAATGTTCGCTAAAATGTCTATTGTTTGAAAAAACATAGTAACATATTGTTAGATTTTTTTTAGATAAAGTACAGACATATTATTAATCAAAAGTGTTAAAAAATAAAATTTAAAAAATCATATCTTTTATTCTACTGGACTAAAATAGGTTCGCGACGTCTCAAAATGTTCGCTAAAATGTCCATTGTTTGAAAAAAAATAGTAACATATTGTTAGATTTTTTTTAGATAAAGTACAGACATATTATTAATCAAAAGTGTTAAAAAATAAAATTTAAAAAATCATATCTTTTATTCTACTGGACCAAAATAGGTTCACGACCTCTCAAAATGTACGTGAGAATGTCTATTTTATAAAAAAAAATAATCAGTTATCATTTATCGTATACAGTACGTACTATATCAATTCATTGTCATTTATTACATCAAACGACCTTTAAACAAAAACAGCGACCTCTAAATATTGTCCGAAAAATCTAAAAAAAATTGAGAGTACTTTTTTTCATGTACTGAACCTACTTTTGATGTATGCTTGTCAAAATTCAGAAATTTTTTTTTTCTTGCGCCACCCTAGTGTACAACCAACGCGAACAACGAACGAACACACGACATTGAGTCGCGAAAACCGACAACTACCGTTAACGCTCGGAAGCGCCATAACGCTCTGGTGGCGGAATCGGCAAACAGTTACTGCCCGGAAATAGGCAATCACAAATGATCGCGCGATTCTCAAAAAGAAAAACAAAATATCCGTTTAAGTAGGAACATACCGCCCACCAAGATTAGGCAGCTAATCTTTAAATAATTGTTCGTCAATGGGTAATTTACAAAGCTTGACTATTGATCTCTTGACTGGGCCGTTAGCAGTGCGGACAGTGACCACTCTCACCAAACCATCTTTGCCAGCATGAGTGTCACTCACTCGTCCCATTCGCCACTTAAGGGGAGGGAGATTGTCATCATGTAATACTACGAGATCATCTTTTTTGAGATCTTCTTGTTGTGTTTTCCACTTGATTCGTCCTTGAAGATTGGCTATATACTCAGCCGCCCACCGTTTCCAGAAATCCTGGACAGTGCGTTGTATTAATTGCCATCGATCGAGACGGTTGATTTGAATGCTTGACAAATCGACTTCTGGTAAGCTCGTTAATGGTGCGCCTGTGAGGAAATGACCTGGAGTCAATGGTTGCAGATCTAAAGGATTTGATGATAATGGAGACAGTGGCCTGGAATTTAGGCAGGCCTCAATCTGTACTAAAACAGTGTATAACTCCTCGAAAGTGAGTAGAGTGTTGCCCATCACTCGTTTTAGATGATATTTGCATGCTTTAACTCCTGCTTCCCATAGACCTCCTAAGTGTGGAGAGTACGGCGGAATAAAACTCCACTCTATGCCCATCTCTATTAATACATTGTCAATTGAATCCTTGACAGCTGAACGAACGAAGGAGTAAATTTCTTCTAGCTCTCGTTTAGCACCGACGAAATTCGTGGCGTTATCACTACAAATCTTGCGTGGTACTCCGCGACGTCCAATAAATCTGCGCAGAGTCGCTATGAATGCTGCAGTCGACAGTTCATTCACCAATTTTAGATGTATTGCCTTTGTGGCGAAACAAACAAATAAAGCAATGTAGGACTTGCATGTTTTCCTACCTCGGCCTTTGTTGAGTAGAGTAATGATTGGGCCGGCGTAATCGATTCCGGTAACAAGAAATGTACGTGAAGGCTTGATTCTATCATTGGGCAGAGATCCCATAGCTTGCGTAAGACCTTTAGGATTATTCTTGACACACCAAATACATGAACGACAAACTTGACAAACTATATTCTTCGCATTCAATGGCCAATATTGTTGTCGTATTGACGCTAACAATAGTTGCTGACTGGCGTGCAGCAACGTGCGATGTGTTCTTTCTACAATTAAGCGAGTAACCTTGCATTTTGCAGGCAACAAAATAGGATGCTTTCTTTCGAAAGTCCAAGGAGCTTCTTGCAGACGTCCACCCACTCGTATAATACCGTTTTCATCCAGAAATACGTGCAATTGATATAACTTATTTGAGGCTTTCATTTGGCCTTTACCTTGCAAATTTTTCAGTTCTTCGTGAAAATGAAGATCTTGGGTATACTTGATTATCATTTGTCGGGCTTCCCCTATCTCTTGTAAAGTCAACTTAGTTTGTAATCTATCGCCTACTTTCTTGCGACAATTACCGCTAAAACGAAGGCAATAAGCAAGTGATCGCTCGATCTTTGTCATTGTTGAGCAGTCTTGAATGAGCTTGTGAATTGATTCATTCTGGAACGATTGTTGTGTATGCAAATGGCAGAGACGAGCCTTGACCTTTGTTTCAGTTTCTACATTAGCAATGTCATCCTCAGAAACCTCTGGAGGAAATTGTTTGCTATTTGCTGGCAGTGGTTCTGATAACCATTTTGGTCCGTGCCACCATAATTGATTGTCCTTTAATTTCGCAGGTGTAGCGCCTCTTGATAGTAAATCAGCTGGGTTCTCGGAACTCTTCACATGTCCCCAATGACTGGCAGGCAAGTAGCTGATGATCTCGGTTACACGATTTGAAACGAAAGGTTTCCATCGCGATGTATCTCCACGTATCCAATATAATGCAACCATGGAATCAGACCAGGCATATATCCCATCCACATTGATCTGAATGGCTTGTTTCACGTTGACAATTAATCTGGCTAGCAACAAAGCACTACATAACTCTAATCGCGGTATAGATTGCCTTTTCAGGGGAGCAACGTTTGCCTTAGAACATAATAAACTAACAAATGTTTGAGTAGAATTATCGTCTTTCCACTGTACGTAAATGCATGCGCCGTATGCGTTTTCGGACGCATCACAAAATCCATGTATAAAAATTCGACCTGATTTCGATAAGTCGACAACTACGCGTGGAATACGTATCAAATTTACATTTTTCAAATTACGTTGAAAATCTTTCCATTTGTTTAAAAACGCTTCAGGAAGGGGGTCGTCCCAATCTATTTTTAATTCCCACAATCCCTGCATTAAAATTTTTGCGATGGTCAAAACGGGACCAATTAATCCTAACGGATCAAATATTTTGCTCACAATTGAAAGCGCGACACGTTTCGAAGATGCATTATCTATTGACTGCGTTGTGAATTGAAACTCGTCCGAAGCCGGGTTCCATTCGAGTCCTAACGTCCTAATGACGTCGCTATTGCTAAGATTTAAATTTGCATTGAGCTCGCGTAAATTCATGGGCACGTTTTCTAACGCTCTTTCTACATTTGAGCACCATTTGTGTGCCTTAAAACATCCTTCGGATAATAAAGATATCAATTGTGTTTGTAAAATGCGTGCATCCTCGATCGTGTTTGTTCCTGTAATTATATCGTCTACGTAAGTATCGTTCAACAATGAATGCGCGGCTAATGGATAACGCTCTAAATTCTCAGATGCGAGTTGTCTCAAACACTTTATTGCTAAATATGACGCACAAGACTGTCCATATGTGACAGTATTCAACTGATATTCTTGCACAGGTTCATCGGAGGAAGATCTCCACAAAATGCGCTGAAAGTCTCTTTCGTCGTTATGTACTAATATTTGACGGTACATTTTTTGCAAATCTGCCGTAATAGCTATCTTGTAAAATCGGAATCTCAAAACTATATCAATTAAATTGTCTTGTAAAACAGGACCAACAAGAAGTGCATCATTTAAAGATATGCCCTGATTATTTTTTGCCGACGCATCGAAAACGACGCGAAGTTTAGTGCTACTGCTATTATCTTTGAAAACTCCATGATGTGGGAGATATACTATACGTTGTGAGTCTTGAGCTGACTCATTCACACTTGACATATGATTTAATTCGACGTATTCTGACATGAATTTAACATATTGTTCGCGAAATGTTTCGTTATTCTTGAACTTGCGTTCCAAGTGATACAATCTTTTCAAAGCAATATCTCTATTGCCGCCAATAGTCATGTCCTTTCCGCAAAATGGTAATCTAACTATGAACCTACCGTCATTGGCTCGACTAGTAGTCTGTTCAAAGTATTCAAAACCCGGACCATCCGGTTCAAAAACCGGAAGTTTAAACAAAAATTAGAAATTCGACCAAAGAAAGATTAAATTCTTTTAATCTAAAACGTTTTCATAACTTCTATTTCAATCATTTATTCCATCCATCGTAAATTTTTTGAGAGCAGGCCGCCATGTTCTTTTTCCGAGTCATTAACAGATTGGTACTCTGGAATTACAAGCAATTATTTTTCATTGCACGGGCTAGTATAAATTAAATAAATTTCAAATCAAATCTCAATAACCGACTTTTATATTTTGTGCACTAAGAATAACATATTGCAGAAATTTTTTAGAAAACCGTAATATGCAAATTGTAATCTGTTTTACTTATATGTATTGTGACCGTACTTGTGAGAAACGGCACAACTTCGTCACTTCATCTGCTGCTCTATTTACGCGATAGCTCAAAAGTATGGATAAAATAATATAAATAGCAAAAGTGCGGTTTTTCCTTCTAATTTTATGTGCTGCGATATTCGAGCCGTACAAATTTCGTTGGGCGCCAGGCACGAGAGAGCGTGCCACTCTTCGCACTAAGTTTTAAGATGTTATGCTCGGCCAAAGAAATTACAGAGCAACGGAATTCGCGACGGACAAGATCGGCTAGCTCAGCCAACGGAATTGGCAGAGGGGGTGGTTCGCGGTAAGCGGGAAAGATGTCGGAGAACGAGGTAGAGACAGACAGAAATAATCAGACAGAAATTAACATTAATAATAACAAAGAGTTTCCAATTTATTCAATTCGCGTCGATACATGAGTTGCGATAATTTTCATAACCGCGCGGTCGCGCGTCGACGACAAGTTTACTTTATTACAGAGAGAACGATGGCAAGGTCGTCGACGGCGGTACTTAGAAATGTTCGACTCTAAGAACTTCCAGCAAACCGACAGCCTAATGCTGAGCGGTGACACGCGGCTCGACTCTAATCTTAAACAAACCGGAATCTCAACAATTAATACGAACAATTTGACTTGGCAGTGACACGGGCGAGCAATAACGACAATCCTGAGTTCACAAATTCTTACGCCCGAGCGGATGGCACGTGCTCCCCGATAGAGACAATGGCGTTACAATCTGCCGGTACGACATCGGCTAAACCAAATTCGCGTTACTTCTCACACGCGATCCGCTCGAAACGCTCACAAAATATTACGCGGTCGGTGGCTTTACAATAGAATCGGATAACGCTCGCTTCACCAAGATTTTCCTCCTCAGCCGCTTCCTTCAAAGTCTGCACGAGAGCCGATAGCAGTGCTCGTCTTCGACGAATATTCTCGAAATTCCTGACAAGTTATGGGCGAAATCCTGCGTCCTTACTCGAGGTCCGTCACTGCACAAGTGCCGATCGGCAGTTTCCGCGGATTCACGCAGGACGTCAGGCCCTCTCTTATCGGCCTCTGCTTGCTCTAATTGGCTCGTCGCAACCGCGTGACCCCGCGACGAATCCCGCGGGTCCTTGCGTGTCGCGGATCCTTTTACGCTGTGGCGCGCTTTTCCAAAAGTCGGAAAATGCTTCCTGGTCGCTTGACGATCTTCCATCGATCGTTGTGGGACACGGTGCTTCGGCGAATGTCCTGCCTTTGAGTCCGTTCGCAGCTGACGTCTCTCTCCGAGGCGTCTGCAATGAGGGTGCGATAATCCACCAAATAATAGCGACATTAATAACAAATATGAAATAATACGACCTGCGTGTGCCGCGCTTTTCGTGACTTCAGCTAAATCCTCCATACAGCAATCTCTTCCTCGTAGGAGGCGACGTCTTCTCTCTTCTAGCGATAGGTGAGGCGGCCGAACACAAGAATACAGCGCAGCCACCGGCTCTGATCGTGAATTACCGACAAAATCCGAGCTCAGGATCGTCTTAATATTAACTAAAACTTAACGAAATAGCGACAAGAAGAAAAAAAAAGAAAAATAATACAATAATCGCAAAAAGAGAATAAAAATATGTAATACAATAATCGCAAAAGGAAATAAAAAATAAATAATAATAACGCACATTCGCTTGTGCGCTCGCCCATTGACCCTGAAGGACCCAGGATCTCGCATTATGCTGCCTTTACGAGTGACTGACAAAATGTCACGTCACAGTATGTTCATTTTGAATTTGCAGCTTGAATGATCTATTAATTACTTTTCGTGGTACATATTCAACATAGAAAATATATTTTATGTATGTTCATTGCAGTTATTTTCTAGAAAACTGTAATATGCAGATTGTAATCTGTTTTACTTATATGTAGGTATGTTCATTTTGAATTTGTACAGTTTGCGCAATTAATGCCTTCCAACCCTATGACGTCACATTCACTGTTGAAGCATCGCGTTTACTTTCTCGGTCGTTTTCATATTCATGGCTATAGTAGATAAATCGTAATCAGCCGGCGAAATTGCGCGAATTTCTTCAACCTTATAGCCCGTGTTCGTGACACCTCGAATGTGTGTGATTAAAGTTTTATTGACACTGTTGACAGTCGTAAATTTCGTTTAAAAATATATTTACATAACCAAATTTTCAATTATTTACGACACATAATTTATCAGATAAGTTACTATTCTTCTTTTTTGTATTTATTTAAAACTCTATAAAAAATTATGGAAAAAAATCTTTGTGCATTTTTAATGTAAACAAATTTTTAATTATTTACGGCTTATAATTTTATCAGATCAGTTTATTACAATATTTATCATTTGCATTTTGTC